AAGGAGCCAAGGAGTAGCAGTAGAAAGGCTGCAGAAAGAGTCAGGAGCCCAGAGGAGGGGGCAAAGGAGGTGAAGGGGTGGGGGCAGAAAGTGGAAATGAAAGCAGACAACAGAACATTGCTAGAGAGCAGGAAAGGAGGTGAAAGGCGACAATTTTAGAGATGAAATTTGTTCGGTCGCTACCCAGATTCGAACCCGGGACCTTTGAATGAGAGGCCAACACCTTAACCTCTAGGCCACGAGAGCCCCCTCGTTATGTTTGGATGAAGTTCGTCGTTTATATTACGGAGATTCTGAGGATGGACTGTACCAAAATTCTTCCTCAGGCCGAATATAATCGTTCGAAAGACCAGATGCGGCTCGCAGACCTTTAGTTTGACACCCATACTGTTCAGTGTAAGGTTTGGTGACTTAGTCAAAAGACATTTTTGTTCCTTTCATTGACGCGTGCAGATCCCACGACTGTCTGTGACGATTAAGTCAAGAGACTTCTGTGACAATTTATTATGAAAGGATGTACGAAGAACTTTTATCCTTTTTCACACAGCTTAATCAAGATGTAGATCTAACTGAAGACTTCGTGATAAAAAATAAACAATCTCAGAACAACAGTGTGAGAGAATATAAAAATACTTCGCTTTAAAAAAACAGTCTTTAGTTCAAATCGGGCTATTTTTCTTTCTTTTTGTCTTCATTTTGGGGTTAAGTAATAGCACACAGAGTGCAAGCAAATCGATGTAGTCACCAGTAGTCACAAAGAGTCATGGCAGCTATTTGAAGCAAGGGGGACGGCGGTTAGGGGAGGGGGGGGTGTTGAATCTCCGCCGTCCCAATCGAAAGAGAATTGGACGATAAATTGGGATATATAAACAGAATACGCATTTCGAGACGAGTTACAGTTCTCTTTATACGACGAATCTGATAAATTTAGCCTGGCGGTTAACGGGAGTTTTAAATCTTTAATTTTTCTGACCCCTTTATTCGTAAACCATATTTTGCTGATCACCAGCTCTGGCTTCATTCTTTCTCAGTTGCAGCTCCATTAACGATGTTTTACCAATATTGAATTCCATCTTAAGACATGTAATAGTATTTTTAACGTCTTCTGTCTTTCCAGGTTAAAACAGACCACGAACTACCATCTGTTTGAATTCAATTTCGGCGGAACGAAAACCAAAACTCACAAATCTCGGGTTTAACAGTAAATTCTACTGAATCGTTGGCTGCTTGGGACGCCCAGAACAACAGAATACTTATTATATAAATTTATCACTGCGAGGAAAAGTACACTTCCCGGGTCACCACACATCATCAAAGACGTGGGTCGTGGTTTGACCAAACTGTGCTTGCCCCATAACCATAATAAATAACATTGTTCGGCACAATACACTGCCAGGATCACCCAAAATTATTCAACATAGCTTCTTCGTCACGTCAAATTGTTACTCAGACTCAGATCAACCCGCATAAGTATTCGGTTGATCCCCACATAGTTACCAAGATCGCCAACAACATCAAAGACTTGGGTCGTTATTTCCCCGTTTCCTGCCACTGTACAAGCCAGCTTTTCCCTTTCGCAACATGACGTTGGAAACCACAACTAATGGCCTCCTTGGCAACAACACACCCAACAACGTCACAGACGCTGAGAGGATCGCATACCTCGCCCAACTCCAGGCGCAGACGACACGAACTATGATTCCCGCCATGGTTTTCCTCATTTGTTTCTCAGTGGTGGGCATAGTGGGAAACACTCTCGTCCTGATTGTCTACTCCCAGAAGTTCAAAAGGACCTCAACTCGGATCTTCATCATGGCGATCGCAGGTTTTGATCTGGTCACCAATGTGACTGCCATTCCTGGTGAGCTGCTTTTTGTTGTTGTTGTTGTTGTGTGTGTGTGAGTGTGTGTGAGTGTGTGTGAGTGTGTGTGAGTGTGTGTGTATGTGTGTGTATGTGTGTGTGTGTGTGTGTGTGTGTGTGTTTGTGTGCTGTTGTTGTTGGTGTTGTTGTTGTTGTTCATTTAGTTTCGATTTAGTTCCTAACCCGTAGTCTATGTGGCCCTTGAGGCACCTCAGTATATTTTACTACCCGCACTTCTTCCACTCTTCGCGTTTTTCAACTTTCCGAAATACATTGTGTTTGCATAATGTTCCAGTCACGACCAGTCCACTCTTTCTTTAATGCTGCTTTAGTTACTGAAGGGCAAAAGAAAATGCACCAAATATTTGTACTTCAGTACTTGCCAACCAGAGTAGTTACCTGCCAATGTCAGAACGGAAGGAAATCCCAAATCTGCGGCTGGAAAGGTGGTGACGAATGACTAATGTACTGTGGAAGGTGATGAGGTGGGAGGATTTGGGGGGGGGGGTGGTCATGTTGTATCTCGCTTCTGTGCCATTATGCTCTTTGGTGAGGATTGATGAGCTCATGAGGAAAATGAGCTCGGTGTTCTATTAGATGAATGAACGAAGGGTGTTGGAAATGTTTGTAAGAACAATCTATTAGCCTATGGCAAATCTGTCTGTCAGTACTGAAAAACTGATCCTATGGGTCTTCATGTATATCCTACAAAGAAAGAATTTCAGAAATATGAATAAGTCAATGCCTTTATTGTTATTCAGTTCTCATTCGTGTTCATGATTATGTGTATATTTTGTTTTACTCAATAAAAGAGCAGGCGTATGACCCAAAAGTAGCAAAAAGAATTTTTTAAAAACAACACATTCCTTTCACTCTCTCTCTCTCTCTCTCTCTCTCTCTCT